TATATTAAAGCACTACAGTTGAGGAAAAGGAAACAAATTACACACAAAACAGCCTGGTGTATGGAAAAGTAAAGAATATGGTCAGAATCTCTACTGATTTTAATAAGATTTCAATCAAGACCTTTTCTGCACCCTAGCACAACCATGCAATGTTCCAGTTCAGCAGCTCACAATAAGAAGAGGAAGTGAGAGAGATCTTATCAAGCTGATTACATTAGAAGTTTTGATTCGATCTGGGAAAAAAGACTGGTTTGCATTTGAATCCCAGTGGCTTTGTAACTGGCTGCTATGTGTATCTAAAAACATTACATTTAGGAAAGTTTTAAACAGCAGAAGTGACTCCATTCCTGGTAATAACGGGATTTCTTGCTCCAGTGAGTTTTTTTCCTGCCTTTCCCTTTTACTTTACTCTTTATTTAAAAACTTGCAGTCTCTTCTATAGCAAAAACTGTTTGTAAAGCAAGAATTGTGCTGATCGCATCAGAACTCATTAATATAACTTGTTTTTCCATTATTAGCACCATCTGAGCCTGCTGAAAGCCTTAACCAGGGCTTTAATTTTTCCACAGAGAGCTTTAAATTAATTAGTGGTTTACATGCTAACAAAGAATCTGATACATTCATAAATCAATCTAATGCAGAAGGATTACCAGAGGGTGGAAACCTATTCAGTGGGGACCTCACATTCAGTTAGCATGGTGGGTTTTTAACAAAAGGGTGCAGGTGTGGAATAGACAAACACCAGGAAGATCCACGATAATCACTTTGCATCACTTAAATGCACAGCAGGACACAGAGTAAATCAGAGCCCAAGGCCCACCCTAAGTGAAAGCCATGTAGATATAAAAGGCACTACCAGCCCACTTTAACCTTCACAGCTAAATTGCCAAAATGGTATGATTTCTTTTGTGTAGGTTACAGGCCACTGAACTAATAGAAAATAGAATAGATTTAAAGTACTTGGGTGCAGAAGTACAAACAAATGAAGCAACCATGTAGCATGTATGCATACAGAGCAACTGCATAAAGAGCATATTGAGCATTTCTCTGAGTAGTTATTAAATGAATCCAAGTTATGAAAACATCACATAATTCTGTGTACTTTTTGTTCATCCTAGATTTTTAATCTAGGTCTCTGCTAACACAACACTTACCCTGTCACAAGGACTCTACTGTCTACTATGGCATCATTTTCCTCATTTTTTCCTAACCCAACTATGCTCACTATGAATAAAATTTCACAAAGCTGAACAAAAGCTGGTATTTTACTGTGTCCTAAATGTACAAAGTCTATGACTTAAAAGTTAGGTACAAACACATGGATTTAATGAGTCAAAAGAAAAAAAAGAGAGAAAGGACTTTCATAACTAAAACAATTTCCACTTTCTGTGATGTTTTGAAATAAATACTTCACCCATTCAACGCTGCTAATTTTAATGGAATCTCTGTCACCACAGACACCTGCACAGCCTCTACTAAGGTCAGTATGAAGCGTACAGACATGAAGGAATTATTTTTCTTTCCTTTAAATTAAGGTAAAATATCTTTGAAGAGTCAGAAGAAACATGACTAAGAAAATTCCTAAAATGCACATTAAAGATCTGAAGGTCAAAAGCAACAGGAAGAGCCACACTACAGCTAACCTTGGTGCTGCTAACACTCCTACTAGGCTGGCTAACAATAGAGCAGATTTTGATAACAAATAACCATCAATATTTATTGATGGTTGCTCATAAAATGGAGAAAACTGAGCAAATTGTCAGGTATTTACAGTTTAAATGTATTCAGTTCTCCTTATTAAACCAATTTACAAATACATTTTCACTCACTTCTATGTATAATGAATCAGATTTCAACACAACCACATAGAAAAACTGGCTCTTACAGACTATTCATATATTTTTGATGATGGACATTAGTCTTGAAATGCAATCCTTTAATTTATTCTCTTCTTTAGAGTATGTTCTGATATGTGTATACTTTCAACAATAAGCTAGTCACAAAAAAGGTAACTCTGGGACACGTGCAAAAATAAACGTCTACAGGGAATGCTGTGGAGCAGGCTCTCCATGGAGAGCAGCACATCCTTAATAGCATAGTCAGTAGAATATTCTCCACACAATTTCTTCTGGGAAGGCAACAGTGAAGTTCTCCCACACATCTCTCACATGACCAAACAGGTAGAAGTGTGTGCAGAGCAAAAGCATGTTGCTCCATTCTTCCATGTGGAAAAAATGGCACCCACTGAAATTCATTGATGCTTGCTGTACATTTATGGAGAGCAAACGTTCCATGTGAGCACTGTGAGGTAGTGGGCAATTTTTCAGCAGTGGCAACAGCAAGGTGAAAGACAAGCTACATTCTGGATGGTCATGCACAGCTGTCTCACCACAAAACATTTCAATCAGCTCATCTGTGCAAACTGGCTAATAGTGGTGACTATGTTGGGGTGCTCCAGGGCACCTCTGCCTGGCACCCACTAGCCACCACCTCCTGTCACCGTTAATGCCCTCCCCCTGAGGCGCTCACAAGACTTCCCTCACACCAGCCAGCAGGAGGTTGCCCCTCTGCCAGAGATTCTCTATGCCCAAAATCCCCCTCCAAAATTCTTCTGTCCATCTTCCATATGTACTTGCTCTGAGAGCAGTCTGTGCTGCAGGCTCCTTGCTCTATGCCCTTGGTTCACAGTATTCACATGCTCCATCATCTGGACCCTTACTGCTCCCACACTGCTCATGGACAAGTTCATTAATGTTAATTAATGACTGCTGTGTTTCATATTAAAATCACCAGTTCCAAGCCTGAGACACAGATGAGTTTCCATACATTAGATGCTTCAAAGCAATTGTCTCTACAGGCACATTCTTGCCTTGGCAGTAGCTGCAAGGTAATTGTGGAAATGACTCCTTAGGAAAGAGCAGGAACAGTAATACTTGCCTTGGGGAGAGATAGCACCCCTGGGAAGACACTGGTCAGACTGTAGCAGGTTATAACACTCTGCCTCACAACCAGTTCCCGAAATCACCCCATGCTAGCAGTGCTGTGTGATAAATCCCACAGGGCTACAGACACCAGAAGTGGAAGGCCCTGGGGAGAAGAAACTACAAGGTAGGTAACAACACCCAGGCCAGGTGCCTTGGTGCCCAAGGGCACTTTGTGGCATCCAGGAATCTGAGAGCTGCTGGACATGGCTCTCATTTTCTGTGCTATCTTCAAGTCCAAAAAGCACGTAAGCAAAAGTTGTTGAACAGTAAATAAAAGGAATTGTAATGGTCTTTGAATCATCTTGTCAGGCAGTGACATCCTGCAGCAATGTACTTGTTACAACTTCTCCTCCCCTGTAAGTTACTTCAGGACAGGGACAACCTACAAATTACACTTTTCTACTAAAAACAGGTGTGTCTGGAATCACATATACCAAAAGCATTACCAGGTCATGAAGGTTAATCAATATTGCTTATTTCATGAAGTCTTGAACTGTCTCACTAAGTGTACTTTACATGTAATATATTACATTAGTTGTATGCCTGCAGGGGAAAAGTAGCTTAAAAAGTTAAAGAAAACCCTCTAAAAATCATAAATGGCTCTTCCCAGATTATGAAAATTGTTTATACACTGAAAATTAAAACAGAAGTGCAAAAACAATGCCTGATATTTTCCAGTCCACCTGAGGCAAAAATCACCTCTGAAATCAGTAGGAGTTTTATCTCAGCTGCAGGCTTCTGGATTACAGCTTAACTTGACAGAAGTTTGCTTCTGATTTCCTAGAGAACTCCTGCCCCAGCACACACCCTGTTACCTGTGGCCAACCTGCCTGTTTAATCCCCCCTCAAAACCTCCTGGTGGCCAAGTCAGCCACATCGCAGACCCAAAGGGGCTGTTCAGGGGCAGTGCTTGCACTGTGCAAAACAGCAGAACCCACCTGAGCAAATCCCACTGCCCTCCCTCCCTGCACTACTAGCAGGCAGACAGAGGCTCCTGTCCTGAGCAGTTCCTGTCAGCCACGTTGATGCTGTTCTGCAGCAGAACCTGGCCACAGTCCCAGCAATCAGCTCACAGCAGGCTCCTCCCAGCAGTCACCTACATTCCTCCAAATCTAATTACAGCGTATTAACCACTAATAATGATTTATGAAATGCACTGGCTGGAGGCAGCTGGCTTTCTAAGGGTCCTGCATCACACAGAAAACAGAGCACACCCCAAGCCAACCCTCTACAGCTTTTCTCCATCAGGTTTTAGGGAAAAAGAATTTGGATGAAATTCTTTCACAGCCAACTAAGTAGTCATTCAGATCAACAGTAGCTCCACAAGTGTGTTCACGGAAACTGGTTTGGGTTTCAAATCCATCTGTTTTATCCCATGGAAGCCTAAGATATTTTATGCAAAGACAGGGACAAACAAACTTCTTAACAGATGGGGAGAGTTCCTCAGCTATTAAGTAATTAAGAACATCCAGCACATGTTGGCTCCAAAATAACATTGTTTTGAAGAGATAAGACTCTATAAATTGAGAGTGGTGGTTAACCAAAAATCAGCCATTTCATCTGCTGCTCTCAAGCCCAATCTCAAAAGCTGCTATGTGACAAGTGAAGATGTAAAGAGCATTACATGATTTACAAACTAATCAGATTGACTTTTTAAGTCTTCCACACTTGCATTCTTCCATGTTTCTGAAGTTGGCCAAGATTTAATAGACAACTAAATGTACTGCATTTTGATCCAAAATTGTCCTCCTGTGCTTATGGTCTTACTTGCTTTGCCTCCCATTCCAGTAAGAAAAACCAGAAAGGAAAATGAAACTGCTTTTCTCTACTGCAGTTTTCCCCACCAAGCCAAGACAGAGCTTCGAGTTTCCTCAGATTTATGAACGCACTGCTGGAAACCCATCATCGCATCCATGACGGCCTTAACACTTGGGTCATCTTCAGCAAGACAAAATGTACCTCCAGCCTGAACAGGAGCAGCAAAGAACTGCAAAGCAGACAGATGCCACAGCTTACCATGGTTCCTTCGCTCTTACTTTGTGCAACTTCTCGCTGCAGCCGAGCCACAGACAGCTTCTCCCTATGGAAAGAAAAGCACATGAATAGCAGGTCAAGCTGCACTGAGTGCACCACATCCACGCTGCGGTGGCATTTCTGCACATCACACCGGTATTCCTCCAGACAGAGCAGGCTCTCTTTGCCATATTTCTCTGAAACATCTAACGGCTGTGTTATTGCTTTATTTTACAGCAGGCCAGCAGAAGGAAAATAAACTGAATCTAAACATCATTTGCTCCATTCAAACAACAAAGTAGCTCATCATGATGGCAACATGGAAGCAAACCATGCAAATCAGACTATGTGATTTGCTTTCCTGCAGCTTCACACATCAGCTCTGTTCTGCATGACATTAAAACAGACTTCTTAGCTATGTTATCAATAAATGTATGCATAAAAATGAAATTAAAAATACTAAACATGCTTCACCCATTTCACAATCAGTTTTTTTTTATTAACCTATAAGACCATTACCTGAATCTTTGGCTTGACTCATATAGCAATTAACTTGCTTAATTAAGAATTTGGCAATCAAAACACATTTTTTCTTGATAAGTTTTAAGAAGGGAATGTAAGCAGAGTCTTACTACGTATGGAAAGGGGAAGAGTTTCCAATGCTTGGAGTGGGAAAATGTAGCAAGTACCAAGTACATGCAAAGTGGTGCAGAAATCTGCCATTGAGAGGGAAGTAAAGGAGGAGAGGAATTTACTCCGGAAACACACAGAAGAGACAATACCCCACAGACTTCCCAAAATCAAAAATGGATTTGAGAAAAACAAAGACACTTTCTCAAGCAGCCTGTTTTAAAGGAAGAATATCTGTTTTTTGAAAGAAAGCACCCTGCAGAAATGCTGGTGTCATTTATCAGTATGTGAAGAATCTGTCAGCACACACAACAAAAGATGACATCTGCAGGTGAAAAAAATTTTGAAAAAAGCATCTGTAAGTCAGAATACACATTGCCAAGTTTAAAATTTTCCATTTATGTAAGTTTTGCCTAAAAGTCTTACTTGGTCTAACTGGAAAGGAAGATTTGAACTGTCTGAATAACTTACATGGGTACTTCTGTCTAGCTGAGATCCAGCTCCAGCCCATGCATCCCAGCCTGCTGCTGCTCTTGCATCTCATGCCTTCCCCAAAGGCCATTTCCAGTTCCATGCTAAAACTGCTAAGCCTTCTCTAGTTCAGCTGGAGCAATCTCCATTTATTACTGCAGGGGTTTCAGATTAAACTTAGCATTTGTAATATTGTGCTTTGCAAATTTTTGCATTGCAGAAAAAAATATATATATATTGGCAAAAGCTACAGGTGACACAACCACTACCCTGTGAAAGGCGCAGCTGGATATCATTCTGGAGTAACACAGATGCTCATGTGAAAAATTGAGTGGCGTTAGCACAGCATCAATAGCCTCATAGCAAATACCATAAAAACAGCTTCTAAAACACACTTAGAGCACTCCCTCCTCTTATGTGATACACAGTGTCACAAACTACAAAACTGGTTCATTCTATTTTAAGGATTTTCTTCATCTGCTGCAAACAGCTAGTTGCATTTTTGCACTGCTTCAGTGCCCTAATATGTTTTAGTGGAAAAAGCCTGTATGCCCTTTGAGGAGGGGGTTGACGCTTTAATAGCAAAACAAATGCCTAAAGATATTTTATGACAGGAGATGCAGGGGGAAAAAAACCAACAAAAACAACAACAACAAAAACAGAACAACAAAACCAACCACAAACCACTCTTTCACGTACTTCATGCAAGCAATCTGCATGGATTTATTTAGTCATTCCTCCTGCATGAGCACAACTCCTACTTCTCCCTTTCCACTTTACCTCTACGAGAGATCTATTTATATGTTTCTGGAATGCTGTAACTTTTAAAAAGGTAATTTCCATTTAAGCTCCATCAGCAAAGAGATGAGATTTTCCCCACGCTTATGGAGTAAGAGTCAAAAAGGCTCCTTCACAGTTTTCCCAGTGAAGGAGGGTAAAGACAGGCATTTCCATACAGAGTCTACAACATTCCTGCTATTAGGAACAGAATGAATTTTCACTAGTAAAAAATAAATAAATAAACGAAACCAGATTGCAATCTAAAAGAAAGAACCTACAACAGGGGATGTGGAAGAGCCATCTGTTGCAAGAGCATCTAAAAATAGTGAATGTTGAGGCAAGCAAGCTCTGTGCTCCCACTTGAGACAGATCCCAACGTGCTTCCTCTCTGCCTGCAGGCAAAGGAGCTGAGCACCCATGCCAGCTCTGAACAGATGGTGTGAGCAGGGTGCTGAGTGCCTCTGGGCACAGCAAGCCCTTGGGCAATTCCATCAAGATCCAGTTGGGATGCATCTAGCCAGAGCAAGGTGTTTCCCAACACTGCTGTGTAAATATGTGCTGTGTAACGGGTGAGAAACACAGGCAAAGTCCTGCTATGAGCCAACAACTTTTAACACCGATTTTCAGCAATGGCAGTTTTTGTGTAGGATCATGACAAAGGAGAAGGGCTTTCTCATCCAAGCATCACCAAGTGATGATGAAGACAGAACCCTGAGCTGCTCTTCTCACCCCACTTTTCCTGTTACAGTTGGATAAGCATTTTTACTGTAGAAATAAGCTTTCATCTGCTTTAGCCTTTCAGATGCTTCTAACGCAAAGAACATTTGACATGCAGCTTCAGTGTTAATCTTGTTTTTTTAATCTTTGCTTCTAAATAGGAAAAAAATCAGGAGCATTGCTTTGTTGCTGTACAGCTTTATTTATTTTTAATCAAGCATGCTTCATCCCTATAGCATGATTAATTAACAAAGTTAATTAGCAACTACAGCCAAACTACTAGAAAACAAAATCCTTCTGAGGATTTTAAAAATTAAAACGTTCATTGAGAAGTTCTCGTGTTTGCTTTCAAAAACAGCTAACAAACGATAAAAGGTTTACAAAAATGTTCTTTGAAAGCACAGCTTATGCTCTTAAGATTGAATATATGCATTATAAGTGGCAAAATTCCCAGCCGAGGCCTTTGCAAAGAGATAATTAAAGGAGCCAAACAAGGACGCAATTATATCCTTTCCAGATGGAAGCAAGCACACAAGTATTCAGTGTGTGGATGTAAGAAAGATACGTTTCAAGTCTCAGCATCACCATTTGGATTTTTCAGTAGCTTGTTCCTAAAAAACAACAGTTTGAGAAAAACCCAATGAGTCCAAGAAAAGCATGAATGTCCCAAGTAATTGTTCACATTCCAGACTCCCCTCAAACTGAAATTTCTCCTTTTACCTTTGCTCCTAACAGCCAGACTCATTCACACACCAGACAAAAGGTGTATCACACAGCAGTGACAGTTACCCAGCGCTGCTCAGGTTTCCACTTAGAACTGTGCATCTCAGACATCTCACAGCCCACAGGAGAACAATAGGAAGATGCAATCACAAACCCCATGGACCACATCAGTCTGAACAAATGCTGCTCCAGTTTCTCACTGGTAACTGATATCCTCAGACCAAACAACATGATAAATGGATGCATGAAGACCCTTTTTTCTCTTCTTAGCTCTTCATCTTTATGCTGATATAGCATTGAAATTCAACTTCCAATCTAAATTTTAGAATAAGATTTTCATTTGTGTTTGGAAACCTCTATTTCAGCAGCTCTTAGTGCTAATGAGGAAAAAAACAACATACTCAAAAATCTGAAAGAATGCAAAACCTCTCAGTAACATCATCTAAAACGTAATGCTGCACTGAATCTACATCACCATGACCCCTAAGAAGAAAATAGTTATACCAGACCCTGACGTTACCCCTTCCTGTCTTAATCACACAGTAGCAGTCTCACCATGTGACAGGACATATTGGCATCTCGCATTTCCAGCACCAACACAGGAAGATTTTTACATTTTCCTATATACTGTAAATTACTGCTCTCCTGGACAGTGAGTGAATGACAACAAAACCTATGATGGTTCCCAAGTAAGAAATTAAATTGTTTCCTTACTCTTCAATTTGTTTCCTGAATAGGAAAGCATTTTCTTCGCTTTCATCCTTTGTTGGAAAGCCTCATTCTGCAGGGATTTCCCTTAGAAATGATCAGTTTCACAGAGAAAGGTGAACTCTGACTTCTTTCATCTTACGCCTCTCACTGTTTGCAAAGATGGACCCACAGAAAGCCAGATTTGAAAATACACTGTTAAGATTTATTTCCAGTGCTTGCGTCAAATCACAGTGGCTACACTACATCCCAGGGCACTTCTGTGTCTTCTGCAGACCACTTTGAAGCTTCCTCCTCAATGCTAAACCTCTGAGATGGAGAAAGTGAATAAATACTTCACCCCCACTGGGGTAAAGAAATAAAAGAACAAGCAGCAAAATGAGAAAGTCATGGAATGTGCAAAGTGTCCCCAATCATTGTGCCCAGGGCAACGAGCCCTGTGCCAGATAGGAGGTGACACAGGAGCAGCCAGGAGCCACAGTGCTGTAAACAGAATCACAGAATTGCAGGGGTGGGAAGGAACCGACGGGGCTCATCAAATCCAACTCCCCTATCCAAGCAGGTTCCCTGCAGTAGGCAGTAGAAATCATGCTGCTGGAGGTGGTGCATGCACTATGTTCTCAGTGCTCTATGTCAGTGCTGTGTTCTTTTTGAAACTGCTGGTTTAGAACGGCAATAGTTTAGCTGGATCTGGCAATAAAAAGTCCTTTTGCAAAGAAATATAAATTGAGAATTTAAGGCTGAGCAAAGTACACATTTTATTTAATTATTTTTGCAATAATTGCAGACAGCAGTTAGTGCAAGAGATAGTAATGCTGTCAGGCAGAAGCAGAATAGATAGACTGAGCCAACAGCAAGGCACAGGCTCCCATTTATTGCTAATTTACTTCTGAATAAGAGATAAGCACACAGAAAATACCATTTACATTAAGCTTCTCTTCCACGGGATGCAATACTTCCAAACCCAGACAAGCCGAACAGGTAGCAGATGATTCAAAGTGTATTTTCTTGGGAATGATAGGTGAACAGTAGGG